AATAAAGTTAAACTCAACATATCTCATATATCATTTGATTGAAATGTCTTTTTGTATATGCATAAATTTATGTATTATTTTATGTTCGATTGAATGTTAAATAAGAATATTAATAATGCGAGAATTAGATTGTTTAAAGATAAAAATATGTTAAATTAAAGTAGGAAGTTCTTGTATTACAATTTCTACATTATTAATTACCATACATAACAATCTACCTAAACAATTCCTATATTACTACTAATTAGAGTTCCCGAATAACTTGTTTCAAACAAAACGACCCCTAAAAGCAGTGGCGGAGCCAGAATTTTTAATAAGGGGGTTCAAAATCTGAGAAGTAAACACACGAACTAGTGGAAGGGGGTTCGACATCTATTATACATACCTAAAAAATAATTTTAACATTGTATAAATAGTAATATTTTCCGCCGAGGGGATTCGGATGAACCCCCTGTATATGTTGCCTCCGGCCCTGCCTAAATGTGTGTGAGGCTAAAATCTACATTCTTTGAACCCCCTCCCTCCCCCACCCTACCCCCACCCCCACTTCAAATTTAAAAAGTATACTTAATTAATATATCAAAATTGAGAGTCCTTTTACTAATGAGATCAACTATTTTGGGACAATTGTTTCGTGTAAGATTTTCATTGAGTGAATAAATGAAAAATGATAAGTGCAATACAAGCTAGATAACATTTTCTTTGGAGAAAATACAAAGTATTAAAGTATATAGGTTTAAAAATAGCTTATCCATGAAGATATAGTCAACACAAGCCAACTGAGTAAAGTCGTATTCGTCCTATCATAGAAGATAAACAATAATAATAACATATCTCGTGATATTATACGTGAAATTTGAAAATCGAAGAGTAATATATATGCAAATTTAATTTAGCTTTACTGATTACAAAAAATATTTTGAAAGACTTGAGATACAATAAAGTAATTTTTAAAACAGACTTGCAAAATAGAAAAAATTAAAATATGTGATGAAAATAGCTTAGGAAAACATGACAAACATAAGTAGTAAATAAAGCCAAAGTCTCCTAATTATGGTAATTAAATTATTATTGGAAAAACTTCCTGCTCAGAAAATTAATTTTTTTTTTGAAAGGTATAGTAATTAGATAAGGGCGATATTTAGTTTTTTTTTCAAAAAAAAATTAAAAATATTAGATAATAGTACCTAAATTTATTTTCTCCATTTTGTACAATTACATTTTTATCGATCATAAAAATAGGTTGTATTTATTATCATATGCCAAACAGTTGTAACCATATGCTACACAAATATTTTTTTTGAAACAAATATTTGTTTTCTCACTGCTAAAATATAACATTATAATTGCAAAAATTATTGAATAGTCGAGGTTTACGTATTTTTTTTTTGTAAAGGCGTATAAAGCTTTTAAAAATATATAATATGAACCGAATCAAGTATTATATTATCTACTTGCAATAGCTCATATATATATATATATATATATATTATTGGTCATGAGTTGGGAAATTAAACTTTATGAGATCGAATCTCCTATTATTTCTGAGTAGCATAATGAAGTAACAGTCGATTGTTAACAGATTAATCATAGGTTTGAATCCCTCTTGGAGAAATTTGATCGATTTTGATTTTTTTAAAATTCCAAATAAATGGATCGAATTTGCTTGTCTTTTTATTTCTATGGCATATGTTCTATTATGTGTGATAAAAAAAATCACCATCAATACATTATACATCAATTTAGATTCGATCAAGATATATATTAATACTCTGTACATAATATAAAATATCTTTTATTAAAAATGATTTCATATCCAGAGTTCGAGAGTAAGGTGATAGTAGCCACTAGACAACAATGCCATAAAATTATTTTAGTCTGAGCTCATGACTAACGTGATCTTCATTGTTGATCTTCCATGCCATGTGATCATTTACTGCCACACCAATATAAATTTATTCAGTGGGTTCAATTTTTCTCATTTTTCAAATAAATTAATATACTTTTCTTCCATTTAAGTACATTTTGTACAAAAAGAAAATGAACATGTTTGATTTATAAGGGGAATTAAGTAGTTGCAATATTGAATTAATTAGTACCCAATGGCAAAATACGTACTAATTCACAAGACTTATTTATTTCCTAAGACTTAGCTATAAATATACACATATTTATCTAGGATTTGATTCTGATTATTCACAAGCAAATGTTTTTTTTATGGTGTCACCAATTTCATAAAAAATTATCTTTTATCTTTGAATGAAGTTAGATAGTACTAATTCGATTATTTCAGTTTTGAAGTGTCAAATAAGCAAATTAAAATAAATGCTAACAAATTGAGTTAATAAATAGACGAATTGTTAAAACTTAAACCATTCATTCTTTTATAGACTAATTTTGTCACCCATACTGATCTCTAATATACAAACTAAAAAATACAGCTTGTCTTGGAAATAATTAAAGTAAAAGTGAATAAAACCATAAAAAAGTGCAAAGCATTTTTGCAACTCTCCAATTGGTACACAAAAAGAAAAAATAATTGGTGATTGTCTTTATTTTAGCACCAGAAAGTCAATGTGTGTTTGCTGGAAAAGGTAAAGAAAATAAATAAATAAACCAGAAAGAAATTAGGTTGTCTTAAGTCACACTACTGGTGATTTTGATGTATAACTATATGCAAATTACATCTTAATTATTTTTTTATTTTTTACATACGCTCAATTCTCTGTTCATAATTGGTTGTCACATTTCACTTCTTGAAAGTCATTTTATGTAAATTATGAAAGTATTTACCTGTCTTAAAAGATGATCGATCCAGATGGAGTTTTGGAACTAATTTTCTTTGAAGAATTTCAATTTTTTTCCCTTCTTAGAACCATATTATAATATCTGAAAATCACTAATTTGACTAATTCAAGTTCGTGTCACGTAGTGTCCATTTAAGAGAATTTTTGCTAGCTAGCTACCAGAAATTTCTTCATTTTCAGACTCAAATTCAAAAATTCTGATAAGAATAAAGAGATCTCAGACATCTTAACCAGAGGCGGATATAGAGTAGAAGTAATAAAAATAAACCCGATATTTTTAAACACAAAATATAAAATATATGTAAAGATTAGTAAAAAAGAAATAAAATATTGAATAATGAACTCATGATTTTAAATTTTTGGTAAAATTTTGATGCGTTCAGTAATAAGAAGAATCTAACTATTAAAAATATTAAATATTATAAATTTTGAATTCGCTTCTTATTCTATCATAATCCTTGATAAAGAACTATATGATAATATTTTAAAAATGAAAAGAGACAGAAGGTGAATACAAATTAAATTAGAGCGCCATCATATGAAAATGATGGTTAATGATCTGACTGAAATTATTGAAAATTAGTTAAGTAAACACATCTCAAATAAAAAAGAATAAACATATTAGCTATATTAGAAAAGAACAAATGTGAATTTCCCAATTGGACTAAAAAAATATTCATTTCATAGAAATTTATTATGAAGTATAAAGATAATCTACATGGAGTTTAGGAGCTAATTATTATATTAAAGGATGTTAATTACTTTTTTTAATCATCTATTATACAAAAAATGTTGGTCTGACTAATCCAAATTTGTTGTGTGTGCGACTGATCATATTGAATGAGTTCCTTAAAAAATGCTTCTTCATCACTTGTGAAATTTTTCGTTAAAAGCTAAGAGATCTCATCCATCTGACCATATTAATCCCTTGTATTTTTGAAATGAAATGAGATAGAAAAAGACGAATACAAATAAAACGCCATTATATGAAAATGATGGTTAATAATCTCACTAGTATTTTTGAAAATCCATAGTTAATCACATCATGATAAACCAAGTGAAATATGCATAAATTACCCCTTTTTTATGTATAAAATTAATGATTTAGCTAGTAGCATAATAGAAAAGCTTTTGAGTGCGATTAATTAATTGCACATAATTAGGTATGAAAAGGGAAGTTCAAAACTTTTATGAGAGGCTTTAAGAACCTTTTGATTGTTAATTTTTACCTCCTCCGTCTCAAACAATCTTTCACAATTTTTAAAAATAATTATCTTAAATTATTTGTTATTTTAAAAGTTCAAGATAAATTTTTTTTTTCATTTTACACTTGATATCTTAAAACAGAAATAATGGGAAAAATATCAAAATTCTTTTTAAATAATATTTTTTAAAAGACGTGTAAAAGAAAAACACGATAAATAATTTGAGACAGAAAAATCGAAGAAATCAAGAAGCTATATATTAGCATCTTAGCTCACAACCATCAAAAATTAAATTAAGTGTTAATTCAAATTGATGAAGCATTAACAAAAGCCACTACTGCTGTCAATTTTAGAACCCAAAATTAATTTTATGGTGCCAACAATTTTAATGTTTATATACTAATAGTGTACATAACTTCTTTTTTTAAATACTATTAATGTAGTTTAATTTCTGTGCTAGTAAAACAATTACCGTTCATACAAAAGCGATTCAGTATTTTGACGTGAAACATAAATTTAATAAAATTCACTGAATATATATATATATCATTTAATTATAAATACAATAAATTTAATGCTAATAACCATAAATACTAAATTAAATCCAGAATTTGCTTATACATTTATATTAGATTACCTAGCTATTAATGTTTATAAAAAAAGTTGACTAGTAATTATTTTGAGCCAGTAATATAATTGTGTGAATAATTTACTTTGACTAACGTTGCGTATAACTTAAACAATTTGACTAAACCACTCAGAGAAATTCTAGCATTTAATGCAAAATGAAAGAAAGCACTACTTCAATTCAATTATAGGCAGACAATTTTTGTTTTTAACATTGAATTTTATATGGACCATGAAATAATGTTTGACCTTGTTGTCTGAAAGCAAAATAGTTTTGATTCAAATTAAGATCAAAACTGTTTTCTTATGATGAACAGATAAAATAGCCATTAAAGAAAACAGGTTCTCATAATTATGTATGAATCCCAACTCTGAATGTGGCAAACGGGTAGTAGTTGAAGCAAATTAATGCAAAAATATATCATCAATGCAAGAGCAAGAAATGTGAAGTTCTCTGGCAAGTATATAAATCCCTTTGGATCTTGATGCCATTTGCTCACATTAGTTGTCTGAAAAAACAGAAAAAATAAAGGTGTCACATACAATTCTAAATTTATTCTTTGAAGATGATAAGTGAGGGAGTGATGAGGGTAGGGGTGTTAGCATTACTTTGCTTTTATGTTCTTGTGGGGAGTGTGGCTTTCGCTAGAAATGTGAAAGATTTTGAGGATGAAAAGTTTTTTACTATTGGTGAGGGAGGGGGATTTGGTGGTGGTTTTGGTGGTGGTGGAGGTTTTGGCAGTGAAGGTGGTGGAGGGTATGGTGGAGGCGGAGGAGGTGGTTATGGTGGAGGTGGTATTGGAAAAGGTGGTGGAATTGGGGGCGGTGCAGGAGGCGGCGGTGGAATAGGCGGAGGAATTGGGGGTGGTGCGGGAGGTGGAAGAGGAATAGGTGGAGGCATTGGTAAAGGTGGTGGCATTGGCGGAGGAGTTGGTGGCGGTGCAGGAGGTGGAGGAGGAATAGGTGGAGGCATTGGTAAAGGGGGTGGAATTGGAGGAGGAGCTGGAGGTGGGGGAGGAATAGGTGGAGGCATCGGTAAAGGTGGTGGCATTGGAGGAGGAGCTGGTGGCGGTGCAGGAGGTGGGGGCGGAATAGGTGGAGGTATTGGTAAAGGTGGTGGCATTGGAGGTGGAGCTGGTGGCGGGGGAGGAATAGGTGGAGGCATTGGTAAAGGTGGTGGCATTGGAGGAGGAGCTGGTGGTGGTGCAGGAGGCGGGGGTGGAATAGGTGGAGGCGTTGGAGGTGGAGCTGGTGGTGGGGGAGGAATCGGTAAAGGTGGTGGTATCGGAGGAGGAGCTGGTGGCGGCGCAGGAGGTGGAATAGGTGGAGGCGTTGGTAAAGGTGGTGGTATTGGAGGAGGAGTTGGTGGTGGTGCAGGAGGCGGGGGTGGAATAGGTGGAGGCGTTGGAGGTGGAGCTGGTGGTGGGGGAGGAATTGGTAAAGGTGGTGGTATCGGAGGAGGAGTTGGTGGCGGTGCAGGAGGCGGGGGTGGAATAGGTGGAGGCATTGGAGGTGGAGCTGGTGGCAGTGTTGGTAAAAGTGGTGGCATTGGAGGTGGAGCTGGTGGCGGTGCAGGAGGCGGTATTGGTGGGGGAGCTGGAGGCGGAAAAGGAGGAGGAATTGGTGGTGGTGCTGGTGGAGGAGCTGGTGGTGGTGTAGGAGGAGGTATCGGCGGAGGAGCCGGAGGTGGTGCAGGAGGAGGTATTGGAAAAGGTGGTGGCATAGGAGGTGGTATTGGCAAAGGTGGCGGAATTGGTGGAGGAGGTGGAATTGGCAAAGGTGGAGGCATTGGAGGTGGCGTAGGTGGAGGTGGAGGTGGTGGTATAGGAGGAGGAATTGGTAAGGGTGGTGGTGTAGGAGGAGGAATTGGCAAAGGTGGTGGTATTGGTGGTGGTGCAGGAGGAGGAGTTGGTGGTGGTATCGGAGGAGGTGCCGGTGGTGGTGGTGGAGGAGGAGGAGGAGTTGGTGGTGGTGTCGGAGGAGGTGTCGGTGGTGGTGTAGGAGGAGGAGTTGGTGGTGGCATCGGAGGAGGTGCCGGTGGTGGTGGTGGAGGAGGAGGAGGAGTTGGTGGTGGTGTCGGTGGTGGTGCAGGAGGAGGAGTTGGTGGTGGCATCGGAGGAGGTGCCGGTGGTGGTGGTGGAGGAGGAGGAGGAGTTGGTGGTGGTGTCGGTGGTGGTGCAGGAGGAGGAGTTGGTGGTGGCATCGGAGGAGGTGCCGGTGGTGGTGGTGGAGGAGGAGGAGGAGTTGGTGGTGGTGTCGGTGGTGGTGCAGGAGGAGGAGTTGGTGGTGGCATCGGAGGAGGTGCCGGTGGTGGTGGTGGAGGAGGAGGAGGAGTTGGTGGTGGTGTCGGTGGTGGTGCAGGAGGAGGAGTTGGTGGTGGCATCGGAGGAGGTGCCGGTGGTGGTGGTGGAGGAGGAGGAGGAGGAGTTGGTGGTGGTGTCGGAGGAGGTGTCGGTGGTGGTGCAGGAGGAGGAGTTGGTGGTGGTGGTGGTGGTGGTGGAGGTGGAGGAGGAGTTGGTGGTGGCGTTGGAGGAGGTGTCGGTGGTGGTGTAGGAGGAGGAATTGGCAAGGGTGGCGGCATTGGATTTGGTGGTGGTGGTGGCGGAGGAGGAGGAATTGGTGGCATTGGAGGAGGTGCCGGTGGTGGATTTGGAGGCGGATTTGGTGTAGGAGGTAGTTTAGGTACAGGTATCGGAGGTGGTTTTGGTGGAGGAGGTGGTGGTGGAATTGGAGGAGGTTACTAAATATCCTCTAATATCATTGAACACCAAATTAAGCTGCTGCAATGTTATTATTATCATTATATTTTCAGAATTGTAGTTCATTAAAATTACATGTAATGAAATGAAATTCCTACATCAATTCTATTCATTAATAGATACTATATGGTTACATGCAATATTCTTTTCCTTTATGAAGCACACAACAATCTCCATCAAATTCATGAAACTGAAATATAATATTTAATGTGCAAGAAATTAAACATGATGCCAAAATGAACATGCTATATTATAAAGCAAAAAATAGCTAATAACATTTAAATTGTTTTCCTCTAATAAATTAGCAGAAAATTTTGAGATAACTGTCTCATTTGCACTAGAAGGCAACAATCTTCCTAATATTTCAGCGAGAATATTTTAAATGTCGCGGGTCAATGATACACACAATAAAATTGTCATGCTTAGTCAATATCATAAATATCACTGAAATCCCGTAAAGACGGCTTGACTCAATCCTGTATTCTTATCATATTTTTCATTATCCATCTGTCAAAAGGCAATAGGCATGGGCGGAGACAGAAGGATGCAAGGGAGTTCAACTAAACTCCTTCGTAAAAATATTATACTATGAAGATAGAGTATTTTTTTTTTTAAATCTATATAAATTATTAAATTTTCTTTAACACAAAAATAACTTTTTTATTCTCCTTGTTTGAATTAGCGACTCCGCCAATGACAATAAGAACTCAACTTAATTAGTATACTGCTAAATTTTCATTTCATTGTGTACTTAACATAAGTATATCTATAATTTTTTATTTATTTTTGGCTAATGATGATATCGTACTCAACTTGAAGGCACCTCGATTATTCAATCACATACTTATTACCTCACACATATACATACAATAAATTAATGCTATTATGCTAATGACTTGAAAATGGTTGTTGCATGATAAATATATATTAAAATTTTGCAAGAATTAAAGATGATTTAAATCTGAATAAGTAAACATTTACTAGTTAATCTAGATGTTATATGAGTCCAATATAGAAGACATTATGTATGTTGATAATTTTCAGGATGAACACACAATTTTTGTTATTATTTTTTTTAAAAAGTAAAAATAATAGAATACCTATAATTCAAATTCTCAACCAAAATCTAATTTTTGAGTCACCGTTGGCATTTGGCATTGCACTACAAAGGTTTTATTACCAAAGAGATTCAATAATATTTTATAATTATTTTTAACTTGATGTACAATATCTAAAATTCATTTTCTAAAAAAGACAACTTTAATGTATATTTCATTTGAATTGGCTCAGAAAATAATCAAAAGAAAGAGATAATAGCCAAAACTATAATTGAATAATCATTTCTTTTAAGAATTTCATAACTAATTATCATTTAAGTGTGTTTCAATACATAGATAATGATAGTTCAAGAATGAAAAAAGACAATTAATATTTAATGGATAAAATTCGTGAAAAAATAATAATAATTCAAGTGTGTGTTTTATTATTATCTCTACAAGAAAATAAGTATCATAAGTGAATCAAGAAACATGAGATCATCTCAAGTTCAACAAACATCAGGTGATTTCTTTCTATCTTCAAATTTTGATGAATAGAATTAACTATATTGATTGAAAAAATTAATTAAAATGTTCGCGGAGATCAGACCGGACACCATGATTATAAAAGAAAAGAAAAAGGTTATAGCCCTAAAACCCCTTTTAAACCCTTTACATTTCTGGGACTGGGGAGTTCCCATTTTCATTGCAACAAAATCTCTGTTATCAAAGGTAAAATTACTAATACAAAATTCTATCTTATGTAAATCCCTTTTAATTCACACCTCTCCATGTATTAAAAAATGGTAGAAATTAACAAATAATTTTATTTTTTATATATATAAAAAGGGAGAAAAGATTTCAGCTTTCCTTCTCCTTCAATTTGGGGTTGTTTGTTCTTGTTCTTGTTTTTTTTAATTTTTTTTTTTTTTGTTAATGGTCAGTATATTGAAGCACTAAATTGTGGTTGGTTTCAGATTTTAACTACATATATTCAAGATTGCTCCTTTTTTTGTGTTTTTTTTTTAGAATCAAGAATGTAAGTGAACATATTAAAATTTTGTTCTTTTTCCAGGTTATTGTCATTTTGTGCAAAAAGGGGGTGTTTTTCTAATCTATAAGAGTTGTTCTGGTGATTTATTGAGTTGAAAAATGCCGGATATTGAGAGACTTGTGAATGATTTTGTTGCAAAGCTCAGCAAACGGTTAGTACTGCAGTTATAGGAAATATCTGAAAGAATCACTTGTTTGATTTGATTGGCTAATATGGTTATCTGCTTTTCTGTTTTTGAATGATAGTAAGGTTGAAGGGTCACAAGCAACTTCGCGGCTAACAGCAGAGTTGCTTCGTTCTGTAGTTTCGTTGCAAAGATTGCCACCTACTAACTCAGCTGCAGTGCTCATTGAGGCTGTGAGCGGTATAGGTGTTAAATTGGTTGCTGCCAACCCTGTTGGTAAGCGTTTTATCCGCTAATACATGAATGAGGATCTGCTTGTAGATATTTTGATGTTCTAGAATGGAATTTATTTTTTTAAGTATACGAGTTATTCAATCCTAGTTGGTAGTGGAAATTTGGATGCTGGGGATTTCTTTTAAGCGTATAGGTTGGGACAGGATATTTGTCTCTGTTATGCAGTCTTCTTGTGTTCCAAATGAACGGAAAAATTCTTTCAATGATATATTTGCTTCGTGTCTAGTTTGATACCAGTTGCTTCACTTGCTCAAAATATAGAAAAAAATTGGATATGCCTGATTAACTAGTTGTGTTAACTTTGTTTACTAGTCATGTGTAGGAGTAGGAGTAGGAGTAGGACTTATTTGATCTATGGGTTTAGTGTAAGTCATTAACTGCAGCTGCTGCTCCATTTGTTTGTTTCATTTTAGGACTCGAATGCTGTTAACATGTAGTGCTATACTTTTTTTTTGTTGAAATGGTAACAACTTTGTATTAAAATCATAAAAAGGCTGTGAAAGCCATAATTAAGGAGAAACTGAAGCAAAATATAAACTGTGAGTTCCCAGTGAAACGATTTGAGTGTGTTGAGGAATTCAGTGATTCTGTCCACCTCCCAATCATTTAAGAGTCTCCTGAACTGTAGTTCCAACCTTGATTTGAGTGTTGGGTGTACTTCTGCACATTTTCTTAGGCATGAACCCCATGTCTCATTATTTGTCAGTCCAATTACTAAAGGATGTGTATATATATGTAAAAGGGCCCGGTGCACGAACATCCTGCGTTCACGCAGGGTCCGGGGAAAGGTCACATCTGAAGGTGTTGTGTAGGAAGCTATCCTGACGCAAGCATCCGTCACTAATTTCACTGCTTGAGCCCGTTGATTTCAATGCAAGGATTGTCAACAGTACTTCAAATTGATACCAGTTGCTTCACTTGCTCGAAGTATAGAAAAAATTGGATATGCCTGATTAACTAGTTGTGTTAACTTTGTTTACTAGTCATGTGTAGGAGTAGGACTTATTTGATCTATGGTTTAGTGTAAGTCATTAACTGCAGCTGCTGCTCCTTTTGTTTGTTTCATTTTAGGACTCGAATTCTGCTAACATGTAGTGCTCTACTTTTTTTTTTGTTGAAATGGTAACAACTTCGTATTATAATCACAAAAAGGCTGTGAAAGCCATAATTAAGGAGAAAGTGAAGCAAAATATAAACTTTGAGTTCCCAGTGAAACGATTTGAGTGTGTTGAGGAATTCAGTGGCTCTGTCCGCCTCCCAATCATTTAAGAGTCTCCTGAAACTGAAGTTCCAACCTTGATTGCTCCAAATGTCAACCCTTTGTTTTTTATTTAAAATGAAAACATTCGGATATAAGAGCTTGAGAGAGCCATCTCCTATACAGTTGTCCTCCCAAAAGGATGTTTCAAGTCGATTACCAACTTTAGTGCTTATCTTGCTGCTGAAAATTTGCCAGAGATTTCTGATAGTCTTCTGGACACTGACCCCATACACAATGTTGATTGATTTTGTCTTCTATGGTCTTCATCTCCATAATTATCTTTGATCACCTTCTTCCACAAAGATTGATCTTTGTTGGAATATCTCCATAATCACTTCATGAGCAGACTTTGATTCTGCTTTCTAAGGTTCTTTATACCTAGTCCTCCTTGCTTTTTACCGAGGGTAAGAGTTTTCCACTTCACAAGGTGGAAGCCTCTTCTTTCCTTGCCATAAAAGTTTCCTTGTTACTCTCCTCCCTCTGTCAAAGCTAAGACATATACCTCTGCTATGCTAACTATTTGCACACATGCACATTTAGGGAGAGGAGGAGGAGGGAGAAATGGTGCCCTAGTTTCGATTTATTTCACTGTTTAGGTGTGCTTCTGCACATTTTCTTAGGCTTGAACCCCATGTCTCATTATTCGTCACTCCACTTACTAAAGGATGTGTATATATATGTAAAATGGCCCGGTGCACGAACATCCTGCGTTCATGCAGGGTCCGGGGAACAGTCACACCTGAAGGGGGTGTAGTGTAGGAAGCCTATCTTGACGCAAACATCAGTCACTTAATTTCACTGCTTGAACCCATTGATTTCAATGCAAGGATTGTCAACAGTACTTCAAATTGAGAATTTATAGTAAATTAATGACTTCTGAATTCTGATAGCACTCTAGATTAAGTAATCATATTTATTTATGCCAAGAATGATATAACCAAAATTTGATGAAATTGCAGAGCTTGCTGTTGGAAATATTGTTAGGCGTGTTCTTCATATTATCCGGGAGGAGGATCTCTCTCTTTTGACCAGTAAAACGAGCGACTTAGATTTATCAGCTGCAAGTGATGATGAAGGAACCATAGACCAGGATTATGACCCAACTCAATCTGCTGCCGCAGCTGCAGCTGCAGCTAAGAGTTTTCTACGGCCTCCTTCATTGCATGCACTTCTGGAGAATATGTCGGATAAAGCTGTACCGAGTAACAATTACACCTCCTCTTCAGGTGGAGATTCTGAAGAGAAAACCAAAGGTAAATGCTCCTGTGCTACATGAATTTGAAGCAATCTAGTCATTTTTTAGTTTCAGTACTGAATTATCTGTTATTCTGTGTTGCAGCTGATAAACTTGCCAGGACTCGGAAGTTAAAGCATGATGTTATTGAGGCAATTAACATATTAATTGAAGATATTGATACTTGTCATGATCTGATTGCAGAACAGGCAGTTGAGCATATTCACCAAAAGTATTTACCTTTCGCATGTACTGGAAAATGTGTCTTCATTTTGTTATGCACACTACATATTTCAAGTAACATTGTAGCATGATTTGAACACATGCAATGGATATTGTCGTTTCACTGTTCCCCATAGTTTGTTGTCCAGGGGTTTTCCCTTTGCAGTTCACAAAAAAATTATGATAGGTTACTCAAGACTTACAGCTTGGGTGCGAGGAAAATGCTACTTCCCTTGATGGATAGACATTTTATCTGATAAATTAACACATTTTCTTCATCAGTGAAAAATCTACTGTTCCAACCTTACTGTGAAAATGACAAAGATAGGTTTGTAGCTTAAACATTTTGCAAAATATGTGGTTGCTTTCCTTCTTTACATTGCTCCGGGGTGATATTGTTACAATCATTATTGCAAGGCAATTTTTTTTGTTGTTTTAACTTTCACCTCTAATGTATTTATTTGTTCTTTTTCACTCTCTTTTCTAGGCATATAGCTGCATAGTTGTGGTGAATGTATGTAATTTAATTAAAATGTGATAGCTAATTAACAAATGCATTTTTTTCAGTGAAGTAATACTAACACTAGGTAGTTCGAGAACTGCCTTTGAATTCCTCTGTGCCGCAAAAGAGAAAAAACGGTCTTTTCGGGTGGTTGTTGCAGAGGGCGCACCGAGGTTTGTGGAGTATTCTGTAATTTCCGAGAAATAAATGAAACATGAACCTTCTTTTTCATTGTAACTGTAAAATTTCCCCTCTTTGTTTGTGCTTGATCAGGTACCAGGGGCATGCTCTTGCAAAAGAGCTGGTATCAAGAGGTCTACAAACTATAGTTGTAACAGATTCTGCTGTTTTCGCAATGATTTCTAGAGTAAATATGGTAACTTTCTGGATTGGCTATTTTTATGCGTTGTACCAATCTGTAACCTTGTTCTGCTGCTTCGGCTACCTGCGCTCAGAACCGTAACCTTGTTCTGTAGGTTATAGTGGGAGTTCATGCAGTGATGGCCAATGGTGGTGTCATTGCACCTGTTGGAATGAACATGGTTGCACTTGCCGCTCAAAAGCATGCTGTTCCATTTGTCGTAGTTGCTGGCATTCACAAGGTATCTGAGCTTTATTATCTCTACGTATTACTCCCTCCATTTCAATTTGTTTGTCTTACTTTCTTTCTTAGTTTTTCAAAACGAATTCCTCTTTCCTTTTTTGGCAACTTCTTAATTCTAACTTTCCACATGACATATTTTAAGGTCACAAGATTGAAGGGCATTTCGGTATATTCCACATATCTTTAGTTTAAGACCACAAGATTAACAGTCTTCTTTATTTTCTTAAACTCCGTGCCAAGTCAAAACCAACCAAACAAATTGAAATGGAGGGAGTTTTTTTTTCCTTACCCCTCCCCAGGGTTCCAGACTTTTGCTCCTTTGGTGACTTGAACCACAATCTTAGAGTTGGAGGTGGGACGTGCTTACCATCCGTGCAACTCCGAGTCTGAAATGGAGGGACTAACTATCAAAAAGGTATTATTAAGGTGTGTGTGTGTGGGGGGGGGAGGTTGGAGAAGAGAAAGAGGTCATGAGAACTATCAACTTGTACAGTCCAACCGTTTAAGTGGCTATTCTTTTAACTTAACTATTGGCGATTTTTATACCTCTTGCTGATTATCATTCTCAATTTAGAAGGCTCTGATAACATGAGAAGAACTCAGCTTTTCAGGTTTACTAAATGATGTTCAGAACCTTTAAATGGTGTATAAGGTTGATGTAAAGCTTTGCAGATCCTTGAATCCATTTTGAGTTGACCATAAAGTTAATCCTTTTTACGCTTGCCACTAGAGCAGCAAACTCTTTTTCTACTTCTCGCTGTACTTATCATTAGCTAGTCCGTTCAACTGTTTTCTTTCTGCTACAGTTGTGCCCTTCATATCCACACAATCCAGAGGTTTGTCTGAATGACATGCGATCCCCTGCTGAACTTCTCGAATTCGGGCGATTTTCAAACTGCATGGAATTTGGAATGGATAGTGGGGCTCCTCTTCAAGTTGTTAACCCTGGTTTTGATTATGTGGCACCTGAGCTTGTCAGCCTTCTCATCACCGACATGTGAGGATTCTTTACCATTTTCGAATTTTTATTTGTCTTTGCAACAACGATGCCTCAATCCCGAACTAATTTTGGCTTGCACATAACAAAGTAGCTTGGATAATACAGTTCTACATTGTATCATCTACTAATATACAGGAATCTTTTGTTTTGTTATGTTTAGTATAGGTTAAATAATTAATTCATGTTCCATTCAGTATTGATGATTCAATTTACTTTTCAAAAAAAGAAGTAAATTGGACTTAGACAGACTTAAGGATCAACATGGACCATGAGGATTAGCCGACCCCACCTTGCTTGGGATTGAGGTTTAGTGGTTGTTGTGTTTAAGAGGGCGTGCAAGGGGAATTCGTAATGTATTAATTTGCCACTTTGGGAATTAATAAGCAGTTTTATGATAATAATACTCCTTGCATCTTTCTGATCTACAGTGGAGGGCATAACCCGTCATATATGTATCGTCTCATATCGGACTACTACTCAGCTGATGATTTTGATTTGCAAGGGAGGATACATAAATGAAGGTGATTCTTCCTTTAAATTCTGGCTTTGACTTCCAAATAATCTTTCTGAACATTGAACATGTTTGTTGGCCATTTTTAGGAGAAAAAATTGACTGCTTCAGCAATGAAAGCTACTTTTATTATTTAACCCTGGTTAATTTGCTATCTTCTGTACATAATGTCAAATAAAAATATAAGAAAATGAATCTTTTTATAAAGCGTCTATAAACGCATCAGAATCTATAGCATAGCAAGAACTATAAAGAAGGAAAGAAAAGCAAAACAAAGTTTTATCTCAATTTCAGACTACTGCATTTCCTAGCCTTGGATTAACTTGATTCAGTGCTTATATTGGGTGCGAGTAAGTTTTTACCTCCTGAAATCAATCTTTGTTGGCGAGTTACTATGTATCTTTCGTCTATTAGACTCTTACTACGACCATACAAAAACTTGTGTGATTGTTGCTTTAATGAGTTTTTTGTTTTTGCAGAAAGTATCTTGAAGCTCCTTACTGAATTTAAGCAATACATGCTGATTTCAGGCATCTTTTGGAGAGCTGTAGTTGACTGATGAAGAGAAGTGGCAACCAAAAAATCAAATGGAATGTGTTTGTTATCTACTTTGGTGGATAGCTTTAAATGAGCTTTTTAGCATAAACACTTTCTGAACATACTGTACTTTGTTCAGACTAAGTTTTGACTTGTTTAATGTAATGTAATGTGTCCAAGGTGGTAATATTAGTTTGTTTCGTTCTTGTTATAGATGAATGTTTAGATGAACTTTACCTCTTGAATTACATCAATCCTTATATGCATTTGTCTCTCTTGAATGTAAAGGTTAAACGAGTATCGCGCACACACAAATATATACCTCACAGGTCTTTCGAGAGGTTAAAGAGCATCTAACGCAAAAAGGACCTTTCATTCCCTTTTTTGCTTGTGCATAACCACTCTTCAGAAGCACCCCCAGCATAGAGGGACCAAAAAACACCTTTCGTTCTTCACCCTTAGTCCGCGACTAAGTGGGGATTATCTGAACTTCAGAAGCAGTGTCAACAGCCTGCATTTCCAGGTTAAATTGTTCTTTTTTAAGATATGAGAGAATATTGTTGGTATTCATGAAAGTAGGTGATCAAGATATGATTGGAGAGTAATATCATGAAAGCATATAACTACAAATTAACAAGCAATGCCAAAAAATAAAGTTATGGTTTTTGAGGGCATCAAAATTAGTGTCCAAACAAATATGCTCTCAGGTTCCAGGTTCTACTTCTTGCTGAGATCAATTCCAGCTTTCTTGGCTACAGCATCAAGTCCATTTTTCTCAATGGTCTTTATGGCCTTTGTTGAAAGCCTCAGTTTCACGAATCGCTTGCCTTCCTCCCACCAAATTCTCTTGTATTGAAGGTTTACGAATTGCAACTTTTTCGTTTTGTGGTTTGAATGAGAGACCTTGTTTGCCCTGTTGGACTTCTTGCCAGTGAAGGGGCATATTCTACCTGAAAAAACAGAATGTACTCTTTTAATATTCTATACCGTACTTATCACAAAGAGGAGACAAGATATTTGAGCACAACCGACAAAAATGCATGAAAGCAAGGGGGAAGGAAAGATCATGATGGTGTAAGGCAAAGGATGATTCAATAGGAATATTTGATTACTCTTGTCCCTAATTTTTTTTTTATTTTACCTATTAGCTCAAAGGCTTTAAGTAGTTTTGGACTTAAAAGACAAAGGAATTCAGGATGCAGTTTGACAAATGCAGCAACATTAGAAAGGGAGTCAAAGCAAGAGTGTCAGTGATATAGTGCTCCTAATGACTCTCATAATGTGCTTTCTGATTAGTAAACTAAAGCTTCATCAATAATCTAAAAGCCAAATACTGCCATTACTGGACATTACAAAAGAAGTCAACCCTTCACAGTTTGTTGTCATACAATGAGCACGAATTAATCAAGTTGTTATCATCATATTCAAAATATAATGTACACCAGAGGGGCTAACACACCGAAGATTCAATTTCTGTAGATTTTTCCTTCCAAATCTGCAGCTAACACACTCTCTCAGGCTCTCATAATTGGTTTCGCCTTCTTTTTCACTAGTTTGGTCACTAAGGATAAGGACACAAGTGGGTAAGTAAATATTAAAAAATTACACAGTGCAGAAGGTGGATTTGAGAGGTAAATGAATTTACCATATTCTTGATAGCGAGAAATCTACTTTCATAAGCTTTGGATCTCATTAAGCTTTTATTTCACTATTAGGCTGCAAGTTTCATGGAGAGAAGAATAGGCAGATGGCAAGCTCCAGACAATGAAAACTTGCCAAAAGGAAATCCTGTTCATTATCAGGAAAGGTGAAAGCAAGAAAATGAAGCTCTGTCTTTAGGCTGCACTCAGTTAATGAGACCTAAAAGGCCTCAACAAGAAGTATAATATCTTCTCATGCATATAGTATTTCTTTTGTAGCTTTGTCTATAAATTGCAGCATAGGAATGCAAACTTTGTTAACCAAAAAACTGTTGATACCATCTATATAAGAAATTTATCCTAAAATACTTTATAATCCTTTACTTGGACAATCTGTTATGTCTTAAATATCGGCAATCCCTAAGTCAGAGAACAAAGAGCCAAGGAGGAAAAAGCCAGGGATCATTTAGTATATGAAGACAACTATGGACAAACTTCCAAACTATATATCATATTCTATCAATCTTGTTCTTATTAATGCAGTTAACACTGCAACTCCCTTAAATCAGTTTGATGTAGTCCATCAAGCTCTTCCCAGTTCTTTAATTTTGCACATGATGAGGTTGTCCTATCCCTATTTATTGCGACTGGACTTTTAAACCCCTGGAATGATGACACCCCTTTAATCTCCTCTAGAAGTAAGAAAACATAAGAGGTTGTTTAGATAGTAGACTATAATATGGTTTTTAATCATTGATTTTGATGTGTAACTTGATATGTGAATTATAGTCAAGTGCTCAGTTTACCATACGACAGATTTCAAGAAAACAATACATTTAGTTTGCAAATTGCAACTGAATTAAACTTTTTCCAACTTTAGCTATGTCTTCGGATCCTCCACATTGTAAGGGATAATTTTCATCCCATATCAGCAGTACTAACTTTCACTTGTTACTGAACAATCTAACGTGATGTGTTGTTAACACAAAGCAGACATCTGAATTCTAGACACCAGACTACTAAATGGGGACTCTGGTATGGAAGTAGCAATTATCTGAGTACCAAACAACCTCATGATGATTTCGGTCCCGTGACCCTTCGAGTAAGGCCACTTCACACACACACACACACACAAAAAAGGCTCCCTGCACCAAAATGATGATTTATCGTATTAACATTTTAAAGTTATCATCTTTTCTTGTTTCCCCATCAATGTTCAAGAAGAACTTACTATCCCTAGTTCAAGGGTAGAGGGACCGAAGGTGTATACCATACAATATCCCTTTATATTTGATCCAATTAATCGAAATTCAGAAGCTGAAATTTCACCTCTACCATCAATAGGTCTACTAGGTTAATATTTCCGCCCCTCAAACACGTAACCTTCAGGTCAGCAAAGGAGCAACCTTGCAATTGCACCAAAACTCTTTTTTTATTTTAAATAATGGTAATGTCGGGTCAGTTTGCACATACTTGAACAACCATTACCTTAAGTAACAAGTACTTAAGAAAACTTCAAATCCTCAGATACAATTTCTTTATGACAATTGTGGTGTATGGCCCGTATGTGCGCACCTCGACTAATTCTAAGGTTACCTACTGCCTCCCACAAGCACAATTTCTTACACATAAGTCACTTCATTAACGAAACCCAACAGTTCACTCCAACAAACAAAACAACAAACAGTTCATGTGCACATCATTAGACCAAAAAAAAAAAACCAACAACTAAAAACACAAAGAACACAACAAAATGGTAGAGAAATTACGAGCAACAGGTTGAAGGGCTGTCTTGAAAGGAACAGAAAGTGAAGCAGGAGAGCTCAAATTGGTGCTTGAAATCTTGATACCACTCAATTGAGAAGTGAGAAAACTCAACTCTGAGCTCAATTTCAACTTGGGTAAAGCCCTTTTGGTTACTGCAAATGTCCTGTTACCACTGACTGCTGGCCCTCTGAGGCTTATACCTGCCGTGATTGTCGCCATTTTTGCTCCAATTCCTCAAAGCAAGAATCTTTTTTTTTCTCTCAAGAATGTTGTTTTTTGATGAAGGAAGTTAAGAGTGGATAACGAAATGGATGTGGGTAATGGCTTTATTTCTTGGCCTTTTGTTTTTTAGCCTTATGGTGCAAAGGGATTATTTTGGCAATGCTACTTTCTTTTTTCTGTTTGGTATTCATATTCATTGGACTAAATTTGAATTTGTGCATTGCAAGATTCATTTATGGAAATAGCGTGTGTTGCAAAAATAGAAATGCTTAGACGGATGTGTTCTCATATATGATTAGATAAGATTAGAACGTTTGTCAAAAGGTGCAAGTAACACGCATGTGAGGTCGTTTGAGATGATGATTTGTATGTGTGAAACTATGGTAAGTGAGTATGTTAGATGGAGACTAGGTAAACGTAACTCCACCCGAAAGAAGTTATCTTGAAAAAACTATAAAGATGTCAGCACAATGTAAAGAAAAAAATCATTTGTATAGGCGATAATTACTGGTTGAGGATAGATTTGAAATTTATTAAAGAAATACTATTATTATTATTATTATTATTATTATAATTATTATTATATATTTAACTTTTTCTTTTACCTTAGTATAATGATATAAAGTTAGTTAAATAAAGGAATAAGAATTCAAATAGCAGACTCCAACTTAATTGGAACTAAGATGTTATCTTAGTTATGCTTTTATCTTATTTCCCATTAGTTACTCACGTGGAGTCTTATATCACAAACCAAACGAAGAGAGTATTAAGACTATACCAAAATCAAATCATTACAATATTGAACATCTTTACCCTCTTCAAATCCTACTCATCATAAACCAAACGAAGAGAGTATTAACACTATACCAAATCAAATCATTAGAATATTGAACGTCTCTACCATCTTCAAATCCCACTTATGGAATCACACTAAGTATGCTATTGTTGTAGTATATTAGGATTAAATGTCCTTTATCTCTCGAACCAAACAACCCCTAAAAACTATCATCTCATCAACTGGCCAACATCAACTAGAACTACAGGCACAAGATATTTAGGAAAAATAACAAGGCAAATAAGTAGAAGATTTCAAGAAGCCATAAGATTGTGCTCCTATATATTGTAACTTGTAAGTAGTAGGTAAACTGTTGCAACCTAAAAACAAAGTTGTTAATTTTTAGATAACATATTACAAATGGCTCATTCCTTCATCCCATTCTACTGGGATAAAACATGTATTCCGCTTCAAATCGGGTACGACTCTCGCACTAGCAAAAGGTTAACCAAGGCATCTCAATATGGTAAAAATTGCAAACAGTTAAGCATCGCGAAATCCTATGTTAACGTCGTTCAAGTTTGGGGAGATCTGCATAAGGCATTGAATGGGCCAAAAGAAATTAGTTTTGTTAAGCAAACTTTGTCTGATAGAGATCAAGGGGAACATACTCCACAGTCACTATCCGGTCATCAAACAGTCGTCCATGTAAACAATGAGCAGCCATGCTTGCAGCTTCTGCTCTTCTAAACTCCACAAGTACACAGCCAGGATCGAACGCCTCAGTAATAGAAATTTCTTCCTTTTTCTCAAGTTCCTCTGGAGCATCCAACTCTTCTTTCGATGAGAATTCTGGTTCAGA